TGCCGGCGGGCAGGGGTCCGGCTGCCAACCGGATCCTGTTCGCTCGTTAATGAGAAACCAGCCGGGAGCGTCCGCCTGGCCCTCGGCCCCGTGCCGCTCTCTGCCAAGTCACGACTTGCCCCTCCACCTTCTCCGATTCGGTGTTTTATATCAAACCTCCCAGAATGGGCTCGGGGTTTCCCAGTTGCCCGCGTCCCACTGGGCGCTCCCCCTGCCTCCCAGTGCCCTTTCTGAGCCCTTTCCTGCTGCAGGGCTCGTTTTCGTGCTCCGGGGGGGAAAGGGGCCGGTGGCCGGGCCCATGCTGCTGAGAGCGGGACGTGTTTGGATGCGGTGCGTGGCGGTCGGGCGGCTTCCGAGCAAAATGGTCCCAGGGCTTTGGTCGTGCTGGGGTGTGCTGGACCACTGCGGGTAGGGGAAGTGCGGAGGCACCGCTTCCACCAAAGAGCGATGGTCCCGTGTTCTCGGTCCCTGTGCTGGAAAGGAGAAGGTGCTGCTAAACTGAAAATACCCCATTTCTCCCTCCCCCCGGCTCTGCAGCAGTTCCTAACTTGCGTTTGAACCCAGCAGGCTCAGTTCTGCATCTCTGGAGCCGGTAGCGACCCCCGGGCTGCAGTCTGGGGCCCATCTTGCCTGGCCTCTGGGCAGCAGAGCCAGCTCAGCCGTGCGGTGGCTTCGGCTGGGTAAAAATCATCCCGGAGGAGGTCAGTGTCCCCTTCCCAAGGCATGGGGCTGGCCGTCATGCTGGCTGCTTGCCCTCCTTGCCGGGACAGGCCCCACGGGACGGCTCCGGCCGCCCCCCTCGGCAGCTCTTCTCCGTAAGTGAAGCCTTTCACTTGGTTTTTTGCCGTTACATAAATTTCTCTGGGGGTTAAACTTAGCCTGTGAAATCCCTTCTAAGGCGCTCGGGGGAATGAAACCCAGCGCTGCCTGAACCTGCCTGCTACTTTGCCTCCAAGGGAGGTTTGTGCTTGCTCCGAAGCTGCGTTGCTCCTGCCCGCCTCCTGCGAAAGACCCGAAGCCCCCGTTTGTGCCTGGAGCCGCGGCTGCCCCGCACCGAGGGCCAGAGCAAGGCGCAGAAATGCTGCAGTGAGCAGAGCGGGGATAATCCGTCCTCCGAGCCCGAGCAGGGGCTTTCCTCTAATTCGCTGGCGCAGACAGGTTAAGCCCTGGCTTCCCTGCCCGCTGCAGGGCAAGGCGCTTACGTTGATGGAGGAGCTTGCACGCAGGGTAGGGGAGATGCTGCTAGCATGTGACAGTGAATACCCTCGACTGCGTGTCCCCGGGCCGCTTTCCTGCCCTCTGCCCCTTCAGGGTCTGCGTTTCGGCTGCCTTGGGCAGGTTGGGAGGGAGCTGCTGGGGGCCGGCATCTCCCCGCCCTCTGAGCTCGC